TCACATAGTCAAGTCCTGGCCGGTGTGGATCAGTTGGTTGGGAGTCATCCTGTGCACCAGGGGTTGCCAGTTCGATTCCTGGTCAAGGGCACATTCCCAGGTTGTGGCTTGATCCCCTGTAAGGGGGTTATAGAAGGCAGCTGATCGACGTACTCTCATTGATGTTTCTCTCTCTCTGGTCCTTCCCCCTTCCTCTCTTTCTAAACTAAATAAACTATTCTTTTTTTTAAAGTATGATTTTATTGATTTTTAAAGAGAGGAAAGGAGAGGGATAGAGAGCTAGAAACAGGGATGAGAGAGGAGCATCATGGCTGTCTCCTGCATGCACCCCTACTGGGGATCGAGCCCGCAACCCTGGCATGTGCCCTGACCGGGAATAGAATTGGTGACCTCTTAGTTCCTGGGTCAACCGCTGAGCCACACCGGCTGGGCTAAATAAACTATTCTTTTAAAAAATCATGTAGTCAAGCTGGTGCAAACCACTCTTTTGAGTCTGTCTCATTGGCCAATTGCCTTCAATATGGGAGTCACCTTATATTCCTGGTTTTCTAGGTTATATGGTAATTCTTTTTGCCGCCTCTGATGTGAGGGCTTTGAAAGGGAGGAGGAACGGAGGGAGGGTGGCATTTTCTCTGCCCCTCTTCCTCTATTTTTCTCTTTTTCCATTGCTCTTGCTTCTTTACGCCTTCCTGGAACTAGACCCTGGGCAGGGCAGGGGCCTCAGAGTGCCAGACTCCGGCCTTGTCCTCAGGAGATCATGGTTTGCAACCTATTTTAGACATTGGGAGGCCTGGGTATTGTGATTCACACTTGCAGTGTCTGTGGTTTGCTTCTTGCTGCATAAAGTGTACTCCATGGAACATATTAATTTACTTGTAAGTAGATTTATTATATGAAATATTCACCGGAGCAGGCTTTACCGTACAGCATTTGGAACTGTGTACTCAGTACAGTCTGTCCTCATAAATCCATTAATGCTGATGGGATGTGATTGTCTCCTGTGAAACTTTGGGTGAGATGGGGGCTTGAGTAGGGGGGGATCTGGCTGCTGAAATCTCTGTGTCTCTTGTCTTGGCTGTGGCAGACCCTGCTCGCTGTGTGTGTGTGTGTGTGTGTGTTTACACATACCCATTCTCTCCTTTTTTAATGAATGCAGAGGCTTCTATTTCTGTGAGAGCCCTCTTGTCAGCTCCAGTTTCTTATAAAATTCTAGGTCCCAGCAGTGGTTTGGAAGTGTAATGAGGCTCACAGGGAAAAGCTGGCTCATGAGTGAAGACTGATCTGCGAGGAGAAGGATTCGGGGACCGTGGAGGGAGGTGGGGGCAGGATGCCAACACTCAGGACTAATAACCCCTGAGCCGGTGCGTTATCTGCCTGTCCCAGGTGGTCCTAGCAGCCACCATAGGAGGTAGGTGTTATCATGTCTGTATTTGAGGCTCAGAGAGGTTTAGTAAGTTGCCCAAAGTGCGGTTCATTTAGTTCAGCAAACCTGTACTGATTCGTGGCCTGCCATGGGGCCAAGGGCCGGGCATAGGACACAAAGCCAGTCACAAGCTTCTGGCCTCAAGGAGTGCCATCAGCGGACAGAGAAGCAGAGCTGCAGAGGAGCCAGACGGAGGTGGAGCTGCCCCCTGTGTGATACAGGGTGCACATGAGGGCGTGATAAGTCATGGGAGGCTGTGCAAAGGCTGGGGTAGGTGTCCAAGCAAGGTTGGAAGACTGGGTAGGAGTTTATCAGGCAGATGGGGGCTGGCAGGAAGGGGTAGGGCTGGGAGAGGGGGCTCCAGACAGTTCGAAGAGCTGGTACAAATATACAAGGACATAGGACACCACACTGTGGTGGGCAGGGTGAGGACTGCTGGATTTAGTTCTGCCCCATCCCTGGAGGAGGGAGGGTGGGAAGGGTGGATAGCCAGAGCCGCTAGTGCAGGGCCTCATGGGCCACTCTTTTTGGACTATAACCGAGGGCCATGAGGAGCCATTGGAGGATGTGAAGCCAAGGAAAGAGAGAAGTGAGTCTGTATGGATAGAAGATTACTCGAGAGGCACACTAGAAGCAGTTGGAGGGGGGCATGGCAGGGGACACCTGTCAGGGTTTGTGATGCCTGTGTAGTCAGGAAGTCACGGGGGTGCAGGCAGGTCCTGGTGGGTGGGAGGAGAGAGATATAATTTGGTATCTGCTGGGAAGCTGTGGAGCTGGCCTGAATTCCCATCTCAGGTTAAGAGGCCACAAAAAAGAAAAAGTCAAAGTATAAGAAAAAAAAAAGCAGTCAGAAAAAGGGTAAAGGAAAGTAGTACATTGGAAATGTCAAGACATTTAACAAAGACTTTTCTAAAGACATAAAAGATTTAAAGGGTTATAGTTGGGGAATGAGGAGGACTAATGCCGTGTAAGTTTCTCTGAGTCTAATAGCATTTTAGGAATTTAAGTAGACCTAAGGACAAAAGCATACACTTAAGTGAGCTCAGATGAAAACAGGTTTCTGGCCAAAAGCAGAACCTAAAGCAGGGAAAAGCAGGCAGGGTGCCTTACCACCACGGCAGCACTCTGAGAGGCTCGACAACCGAAGGCCCGGGGAGTGCAGGCTGGGCAGGGGGCACCATGGAACTGGGCCAGGAAGGGACCTGGGCAGAGCGAATGGCACAGCGCACCCTACCTGCTTGAGAACTTCTCGGGCACCACCCACACCTGTGTGTTCTCCTGCCGGCATGGCCACTGACAACGGACACAGGCCTGTCAGGGGATTCGCGTGACCTCTCCTTCGCTGTTGGCGCCCTGTTCAGGGAGGTCCTTGGCCCTGGGGTCAGTGAGGTGGTGGCTGAGCAGCATGGGGCCACCTCCAGGCTTGTCCTGTTCTGTTGGCTGCCCGGGAAGAGGGAGGTGGAAGGGTCATCAGCAGATCTCTTGTGAGGGGGGAAGGGGAGGAAGGATATCTGGGCTTCTGTCTTGGGCTGCATTTATTGTGCACAGTGGGGTGCTCTAGATGTTGTGGGGAGCATGGAGCAGCAGGGAAAACTTACAAGAAATATGTGAGCAGAGTGCATGGTTACTTGGTGTCTTGGATGAGGCTGGGGCTCCATGAGGGATGGACTTAAATATGGACTAATGTCTAATAAGGAAACCCAGTCATTAGGGTCTTATTAGTACTTTGTCCACTCTGATCACTGGTTCTGCTGATGTCTTCCTCCCCGTTTGGTTGCTGTTAAGGAAAGAAGGTGCATTTATAGTGGGAAGAGCATGGGGCTTGGAAATGGGACCAGTGTTCAAGTTCTGGCTCTGCTACTTATGAGCGAAGTGACCCTGGGCAAGTGTAACCTCTGTGAGCATCTGCTCTCTCGTTTGTAATTGGGAGCTGTGATAGTGATGTCGCCTCACTGAGGTCCCAGGTTGTCATGGGGATCGGTATGTGTACGTGAGAATAAACTGCAGAACTCTGGTGGGCCCTAAATGTTCTGAGCTTATTCCTTATACCCCTCACAGCACCTCCAAAACATAAGGACACTCACGAAGTGCTGATTGGGTCAATGGATGCATTTCCTGTGGCATTAGGCATTTTCCAGGGCCCCTGCCACTGTGCACCCTGTTGGACAGGGGAAGTGGAGCACCTGGCTGGCCTGTGGAATGGGTAGTGGCCACCACGGCCAGCTACTCAGATGTGCTGAGGGCCCTAATTTCAGGACCAGACAGTTGCACATGGTTTTCAGTCACTGGGCACAGAACTACCTTCAGGATGGCCCAGCGTGAAGTTCAGAAACCGAAAGCAGACTGGGGGCTGCTCCCACTCCTGGCCTCGTTCCACTCCTCTTCCCCTACACCCCCCAGGTGCGTGCCTGCACACCCTTCACGCGTGATGTCCCCGTCCCCGTAGCCAGCGTCTGCTGCTTTCCCATTGTTCCCGGTTCCTCAGCTCTCACTTGGGACGCCCTGCTGGTGACCATGGAGAGGCACCGTGTGTCTCCCTCTGTGGCCCACATGGGTGCTGGGCGTCTGGAGCCAGTTTGCTCACTCCTGTGGTTTCCTCCGGCCCTGCTGCAGGTCGTCTTCCACGATGTCGCCGTGCTGACCGACAAGCTCTTCCCCATCGTGGAGGCCATGCAGAAGCACTTCAGCGCCGGCTCCGGGACCTACTACAGCGACTCCATCTTCTTCCTCTCAGTTGCCATGCATCAGATCATGCCCAAAGGTAACCTGGGCCGCGAGCCCCTGGTATTGATGTTTGCCTCTGTTTCCCTGGGCCCAACACCGCCAGTGCCCTGATTGGAGGAGCTCCACAAAGAGAGGGTGAGGGGGCCAGCAATACCCTTTATGTAACAGCTTCCTGCACAGAGAATCAAGGGCGGGGCCCTAGGCTGCATAGCTCCCGCAGTATGAGTGGCGCAGTGTGGTCCAGGGCAGCTGGGCTCCCTGCCCTTGCATGCAACCAGCCTCGGGACTCTGTTCATCTGATAAATGGTAGGTAGGACTTGGTGACCCTCCATCCACATCTGTGATCCTGTTCTTTCTAGTTTGAATCTGTGCTTATCTGACTTCAAAATATCAAATCTAGATGTGAGAGGTGCAAATTATGACTGAATAGGACTTTTTTTGGATACTCTGATACCCAAGTAAAGGATTTACACGGCTTTGGTCTCTCCAGGGCAGAAAAAATGTGGTGTGTGGTAGGTCCACCTTGTGTGGGAGTGCTGGCAGGTTTGGTCATCCTTGGATTAGAAGCCTGGCGGGTATCCTCACTCGAGGGGTGTTCCAGGCTTCTGGATTCTTCTCCTCCAGCTGGTCCTTGATTGATTCTGGAGCCCTAGAGATTGCCCACTTTCTGACCATGGTGAACCATATGACCTGAGCCTTTTAGGGGTGAGAAGGGGAGTTTTGGGGTCATTGCCTAGGGGCCAGCCAGGACACTTGGTGGAGGCCTGCTGCTCTGGCCCAGCTGACCAGAAGTGAAAGGGGTGTCGAGGACACCACAGTTTGAAGGGCCCTGGGAAGCTAGGAATTCAGGAGTTGGAGGTTGAAGCTGGGCTTTGTTGGCGGGTTGTCATACCACAGAGAAATCTAGACTTTGTCTCCACCAGGCAGGCTCCTGCACGACGGAGGCCCCTGGATGTTCTCTTAGCTGCAAGGCCAGGGCTCAGGAGCTTCCCTGAGCAGGGGTCCAAGGAAAGAGGAGACGAGCTCACCACAAGGGCTCGGGGAGAAGAGCAAGCATTTGTGATTCTTCACAGAAACCAGGTGTGGCTCTGCCAGCTCTGGTCCTCTCACCCACCCTTCGAGGTTACAGATGAGAGAGACTGAGGACTTGAGTGGCCTGCCCAGCGTTATACAGCCATTCAAGTGGCAGAGCTGTCTGACGCAGAGGCCTGATTCTGTAAGTAGCAGTTAGTTCCACCCATCAAGTGGGCTGCAGGGGTGTCTCTCTCTGGGCAGGCTGGTGCAGGTGCTCAGGCTGGAGGAAGGTGTGCTCCTGCTCTCCTGGGTTCTGGGTGAGAAAGACAGATACAGATGCTGGTTCTAGTTCTGCCACTAAGTGCTGTGTGCCTTTCGCTGAGCCATTTGCCTTTGGAGGCCTCAGTTTCCCCACCTGTAAATGATGAGGCTGATCTAGTGAGCTGCTTTGATCAGAAGAGTCCAGGGCCACAGGAACCCCCTTGGGGGTTCTGTAGTTTGGGGAGCCAAGAGAGAGCAGTTCTACCTTACCCCACCTCTCCTGTCCCCACCTTCACTCCTAGGAGCCCATGGATTACTGTGTAGTCCAGGCTTTGGAGCAGGATTCTATTTGGTCAAAGAGTTCCATGATTAAACTAGTTTAAAAGTGTCGACTAGATGGACCCTTAGGGTCTGACCAGCCCTGTTGTCCCACAAGCCTGATTTGCTTTGAATGAAATGCTGTGACTGAAGAGTTGACAGGAGTTAGCAGAAGCCTGGGAGGAGGCCTGACCTTCCTTTTCCTCCCTCCCTTGTGCTAGACTCCAGGCCATCTCATGCTTTGAGGCACCAGAGGTAGGGGAAATAGATAATCCTCCTTGTGGATTATTGGGGTGAGAAGATATTTCTGCCTCACTGTGTCAGGGAGGGCCAGGCAGTGAATTGTGAAGTGTGGATGACAAGGCTTAGGGAGCCCCAGGCTGCTGTCCCTCTGTCTCTCTGGCTGTCCTGCCGGGCTTGGGCTCTAGCTCTGCTGGCCATGCCTGGGAGGGATGTCTGCAGGGACAAGGCTTTGGCCAGAGCTTTGCTGGCATGTGGTAGATCAGATCCTTGGTGTCCCTCAAGTGCAGTCCATGCCTCTGGTCCGCAAACGGTGGGGAAGGAGCTGTGTGAGGTGGGCAGCGGGCAGACCCAAATGCCAGTCTTTCCTGGGGTTTTCCAGACGAATGATAATGTGCTGGCAGAGATTCATTTCTACAGCTGCCCAAAGTCTGCTTCCTAAGAAGAGAGTTGTTAGGAGTTACTAAAACCTGACATTCATAAAATGAAACGAGCAGCCCGGAGCTGCCGCAGGCGGGGTTCTGCCGAGCAGTCTGGCTGCGGCACGCACGTGGCTGCGTGCGGACGTCCACACTGAATTCCTGCAGTGTGCCCAGGATGCTTTATTTTCAGGCACCGTTAGTGCCGTCTCAATTTGGTCACAGCTCTTTATTGCTGCCTTTTTTTAAATCATAGAAGTTGCTGTTGTTTTGGGCTTTGTTGATGAGTTTGTTCCTGTGTAATTGGTGCTATTTTGGTTCACAGTGTTCTTTTTCTCCTGGAAAGTGAGAATGGAGCATGGGTGGGTCATAAGCTCGTGGTCCCGCCCAGGAAGGCTGAGTCAGAAAAGCTCTGAGTTATGTCTGAGGAGGTCCCAGCTGGTGTTTGCCCCAGACATCCAGGTTACTTCTCCGTGTCCAGGCCTCTCCTTCCCCCCAGCCTCCATGGCATCAGGATCACCCTTCTGTACTCAGACTACCTCTAAACTATGCTTACTTCTTTTTCTGTTTTAAAAGCAACACGCATTCACAAGAGAAACTCTGAAAACTACATTAAAATAGAAAAACAGTTATCCTTTTACTGCTACATAAACATCATCACTATTCTTAATTATCTTATATTTTCCCAACATGTAGCTTTTTAATAATTTAGGCAGAGTAGGAGTTATATTCTATATTTAAAGCATTTGGAGTGTTTTTAACATATCAAACTATAAAATTGAACCTTCATTTAAACTAAAATATGAAAGGACAGCAGTAAAGCTGTGTCTCATGACATTTTCAGTTCATGTTGCTCATCACCATTTTCTGTGTAATCAGAGTCTTTTGAGCGTTTTTTTTGAATGGTTTCACTGAGTTCATTTTTATCATTTCCCTGTTCTTGGCTACCTAGATAGTTCTATTTTTTTTTCTATGATCATAAATTATACTATGATGAATATCCACATGTGTAAAGATTTTATTTTCTAATTAGGATTATTTCCTTGCAAGAGGGCTGGTGCACAAATTCGTGCATGGGTGGGGCCACCCCTTTCAGGGTAGGGGGACAATCAGAGGCGGGGCTGGCTGGGGGGAGGGGCCAAGGGCAGTTGGCCGGCCAGTCCTGCCCCCTGGTCGAACTCCCGGTTGAACTCCTGGTCGAGGGGAAAATTTGCATATTAGCCTTTTATTATATAGGATAATTCCCCACGGGTGGGATTACTGGGGCAGAGGTGATACTTATAAAGCCCTCCTGTGTCAACTCCCCCAACCTCACTGCTGCCAGCCTACACGAGTGAGGTTCTGTACCTTTCCTAAGCCCACTCATGTCTGACATCTTGGAGGGACCTCAGGCAGCCACATATGAGCTCAGGACAGTTGCTGTTCCCACATGACAGGAAAGGAAGGGAGGAGCTGAGGTCAGGCCATTTCTTTGAGTTTTAGGGAGAGCTGGGCCTCCTGTCTGGGTTTCGGATGCCTTGGCCCAGGCTTATTCTGATGGCCAGGCCTGAATGCCCAGCCTCTCACACCCACACAGCGCCTTGAAGCTTACAAAACCTGGCCCCCTCTCTCCTCTCCTCCCTCGCTGCAGCCCTGAGTCCCCCTCCAAGCAGCGCCACCCAGACCATGTCTGCAGAGTGAGGAGCGAAACGGCCCTGCAGGCGGAACACGCTGGCTCTGCTTTTGGTCAGAGCTCACTTTTCTTTCTGTCGTTTGTTGGAAGGGTCACGTGTGGCTGGCTGGTCCTGCGGCTCACACTTGCCCGTCCGTGTGTCCTTCACAGATGTGCAGCCACTCTCTGCTCCTCACTCACACCCACAGGGCTTTTATCTCCTCCTGCCGCTGGTGTTAGGTTTGTCACCGTTGGAAGCATCTTACGCAATGGAAAAGAAAACATTTCTGCCCAACTGGAGCTGGAGGGAGTGAATAGCAGCTCCGCAGGGACTGCAGCTTCCCTCTCCTGTGTACACAGCTCCGAGGAGCTGTTGGCTCTGGATTACTGACATGGCCATAAAAACAGCCCTTATCAAGACTGGGCCACGATGCCCGGCATATGACTGTGACGGGTTTTCCCTGGGCAGGGAGGGCAGGGAGGGCAGGGGCCCAGACAATCGGCAGTGTGTAAAGCTTGCCGGGAGCCCCTGGAGACGTTCCTGTAAGGCTTCTGTCCTGTAAGATATCCCGGCCAGGGGTCTGGTGTTTGTGTAACATGGTGCTGGCCATTCTGGTGTCTCAGGGATGTTTGCTGGGTTGCTGCTTCATGGACTTGTGGTGGGGGGTGGGTGGCATGGTCTAGCAATTAGGCAGGATGTCATGAAGACCACAAGAGAAGCCACACGATGCTGAGGGTTTCAGAAGAGGATGAGTTACAGGCATTGGTCCAGAAGGAGGGGGACTTCATGGAGGAGGTGATACCAAAGCTTTGAAGGGCGGGTTAAGTTGCGTTGTATGCTGTTCGGCAATTGGGAAGAGTTGTGTATGTTTGGGAAATAGCAGACAGAGTAGGGTACATGGTGGGAAGCAGTGGGAGAGAAGATGGTTAAGGGAGGTTAGCATGTACTGTGCAAGCTTGGATGCCAGGCTGAGGGCTACCCTCAGACACAGGAGACAAGGCATTTTGGCAGGGAGGAACCTGACCAGATCCATGCTTTAGGGAAGTTGATGTGTCTGAGATTGGGAGTGGATCTCAGGGGAGATGTTGGGGTCCAGCTGCATACCTTTTTTAAAAGTCTGCTGAGGCAGGAAT